GCCTCTTCATCACTGCATCGATTGCTCTTGCTTGCCTTTTGGTAAGCGTATCATGTGCTTCCATCTCATAATCTTCAAGGGACTTCTGGTCATTGGCCTTGTCTTCAGCAATCTCCTCAGGAGTACCCTCTGTCTCATGCTCAGCAGAAGGTGCAGGAAGAGGTAGAGGTTCTTTTGATTCAACAGGCAACACTTTCCTGTTAAGCAAATCTATGGTTGATGGATTGGACTCAGGCGATTCAAGAGATTGATGTGAAGAAGACCTTGCCAATTGCAATCCATTTTGGTCATTGTTCACTTGCTGACTCTTCAAAGCATCTAAGGCTTTTGCCTGGTCCATGAGCATACTCATAAGCTTGCAGCCAATGCCCATGAAGTGATCCACACCCCCTGCCATAGTGCTTGAAGATGAAGCCTGCTGAGGTGTTGGCACATTCTTGAGGTCTTTGGAGTTCACCCTGATCTTAACCTGTTTGACAATGGTGCCCACATTTGCCACAATGTCAGGTGGTGATCTCAAAGGCCAATTGTCAGGCTCATAGCAAGCCTCCAAGAATGCCTGCACAGGATTTGAAAACACACATAAAAATACTATCAAACATAAACACAGCTGTTTTAAGGCAGTGTGACCTTCACCAAAGCACAGTCACAACAATGTGATAAAACAATGATTCAACAAAGTTACACTGTCACAAATGCACATGCACCAAAACTTGTAACCAAAGTGCCTCTCCAATGTCAAAAGGACTTGGAGGATATTTGGCCATACCACCATGCAATGGTTGAACACCACAGGCAATGAAGGTGTCATGAACAAACTGGGATAGTTTGTACATCTCAGCAGCTGGAGGAAGGGTCTTGGTGGAATTCATTTGGAGGCAGACAAGAAAGGCTGTCATGTGCTTCTTTGTATCTTCCTTCAAGCTTCTCAGCCCACACTTCTTCATCCTTTTGATCAAAATGGAAGCAGCATCGATGGTATTGCACCCATCAAGAATTTGTTGCCATTCATTCTTGGCAAGGTAGTTAAAAGACATTGTCATACTTTGAGGTGTCGTCTGCAGCCTTGTTGGCCCCTGAATTGAAGCTGCAGTTTTTTTCCTCCAAGCATGTCACCAATTCACTCTTGATATCCTCAGGTAAGGCGCTCTTTTGCAAGGTGCTGGTCAGTGTGACAAAACTTGATGGTGAAAGCATTTGAGCAGCATCAACCTTGCATTTCAAAGCATCTTTCATCTTTGGTAGAAGTTCACTACCTCTGTTCATCTTGGAGATAAGCTCCATGTCTGTGATTTCTTTCACAAGGTCTTCAACACTCCAAGAAGCCATGGTTCTCTACAGATCCAAGGTCTAAAATGGCCTCAAATACCCCTTTGGGCTTAAAGCTTACAAGCAACATCAACTAGATTGGACCACTGTGTTGATGCCAAGGTATTGAAATTTCAAAGACAACATATTTAGCAGAATGTACATTGAAACATCAAAAGTGAAAGCCCCACAGGCTGCTGCAACATGTGAAAACCAAAGCACATTCAATTGCTTTTATTGTAGTGTAAAGCAAAGTACTTGATGATCTACATGTTTTTTCATCACACCTTTTTTGTCTTTGTTGGAGTCGAAAGTGCTCAGGTCAGAGCTTGCTGCAAGGAGTAAACATGCCACTGGGTGAGATGACTTTCCTGTGTTTGAAAGCACCAAACATCTGCATGCCTTGCACCACAAGGTAAGATTGAAACAGCTTACCCAGCACAGGATCTGCAGCCACCATCCTTGGATTGCAAAAGATCTGCGTACAAAAGAATAGCCAAAAGACTATGCACCACCAACACGTAAAGTTAAACTTATGCAGCTAAAAGCTGAGCGTCGAAACAAAGTGTTCTGCCTCCTCAGGGGTGCAATCAAAGACCAAACAGTTCTAAACACTTAGCAAAATAAACACATACATTATTCTGTAACATTCAACTGAAATGTGTGCTTGCACACATGCAATCCTTCTGTAGGAGCTCCATATATGCCCAATGTGGTTTGCGCACTGAGTCATAGACAAATTCATTGTCCACCCACACACTGAGACACTCAGCATCATCATGTGAATGTGCCATATCCACTTTCATCTCCAAATGCTGGAAGAGCATGACAAACTTTTCCTCCATCTCCACACATTTACAATTCCAGTACAGTGCTAATGCTTGAGATACAAAAAGCTTTGGTGTTAATTCAAATACCATGACACAACATTCAGTTGATTGAGGTACCTCCTCAGTATAACTGCTTATGAAAATAAAGAACACAAAAGCACCTTTGTGTTGATTATTTAAAGAAATGAAAGCACCAAGTGCTGTTAAGAATGAAATGTAATGAAAGCATCAAGTGCTGATTTTACAAAATGTTAAGACTAGAATATTGTATTTTTACTGATCTACAATAAACACAACATAGTTTACATTATATTTATATAGAAAGCTGATTATTTTTAAATTTGCCATGACAAATTGAAATGCAAACTTTTTGGATTTCAATTTGCCATGACAAATTGAAATCCAAAATGTTTGCATTTCAATTTGTCATGGCAAATTGAAATATGAAATGTCTTGATTTCAATTTGTCATGACAAATTGAACAACACCAAATCTATCTAATTGATTAAAGGTTTGATATGCGCAAAACCAATTTCTGAAAGATATATTTACATATACAACAATGATCGACACTGCAAATGGCTTACTGTAGATATCAACCAACAAGTCTTTTTGACTCCTGCAAACTACTTTGTCAACTCAATACTTAGTGGTGAGTCCATACTCAACATCTAAGTTTTTTGGCCACCCATGTTCTTTCACATGAGCAAGTAAGCTGTTAGTCCAATCCTGCATCAAAGGAATGCATTCCCATCTTTGTAAAAGGCGCCTCATCCTGTGAACCTCTCCAAGCCTCCAGGCAACAATGAGGCCACCCATCTTTCTGAACCATCCTCCACCATTAGAAGGAGGTACCCACTCTGTAGGGTCCTGCAAACAAAACTGAACAATTGGACATTACATATGGACATACCAAAAACTTGGTGTCACAGCTTCAATCCATCTTTAACATAAACATACATTATCATTTTGAAGCTTGGTCCTGAGAAGGCACCTTGCTTGGAGTGCCATATAGAAACTTCTTCATCTCACTGGGGTTGCAAACTAGCTTCACTGGAGTAGTTCCACTCAAGTCTTGTTGGGCAGCCAATGGCAGCCCAGGAGCAAACTTAGAGCTTGAAGATGATGTAGCGCACAAAAACCCACCAGATGAAGAGACCTGAGCTGTAGTAGGTGCAAGAGGCACTGTATAGTCTGGAGGGTGCAAAGGCATAGGGGGTGCAGCCTTAGCTTTTGCACCTGGGATTTGTGGTGAAGGAGGAGACTGCTTTGCTGTTGCTGATGATGGTCTGGGTGCATCATCATCTTCTTCTTCTGAAGGCCAAAGGTTGTTCTCATCCATCTTGCTTGCAAAACTGGTCAAAAAGCTGAATACATCATCAGAGATGTTCTGGGTAGTATCATCTGCACATTTGTTGTCCTTGGTTGGCAATGAGTCTTAGATGTACACCAAAATGATTAGAGCAATACATCAAAAATACAATAGATAACAATGCCGCATACAAGCCAAAGGTCATTGGCTATCACCTGGTCAGCTTCTCCAGGCTGGGGTAGCTTGATTCTTTTCCTCTGAGCCCTCCATGGGGCTTCTTCAGCACCAGCTCTCTTCATGGCAGCAAAATAAAGTGTGAAAAGAACAAATAAGTGTAAACCATACCTGATGTAGATACATGTGAAGCTCTTGGCTGAGTCACATCAAAGACTGTTAGTTCTATTGCAACCAAACTGTGTTTGATTAACTGTTTTTGATTGTGTTTTTGTGTCTCATCACCATTGTTTTGAAAAAACTGCTAGCTGCTACACACATACACATCAAATGAGGATGCTTGTATTACACAAGAAAGTTGTCATGAACTGATTGTAAAAAATAAATCACATGAAAGCCTCATAGGCTGAATAGCAAACAAAAGCCCTCAAGGCTTGATCACCTACAACAAAAGCTCTCCAAAACAAGCAAGCAAAAGCCCTCAAGGCTTGATCACACATATAAATTGACTGGCATGACAATCTTCTTGTACCTTACATCAGCAAACAGCAAAACTACATATGCATAAAGGAGACTTTTCACCAATCTCTCTCTTGTACATACTGCACACACTGCCTAAGCAGTCTTGGCCTTCTTGGCAGGAGGGCCTTTGGCAAAGACCTCATCTGGGTCAGAACTCTTGAGCAGCAATGTTTTTGGTTCGATGGGCTCTTCATTCTCCAAAATAGGGATGTGCAATCCCCTGTACTCCACCCATGCCATTTTCAAATTGATCCCCTCATCATCACCAGAACTCCTGACCCAATAGTAGGGACACAAGGTTCCTGTCTCTTCTGGCTTTGCAAAATTGTTGAAGCTCTTGAATGGTTGTATCTGGTAAGGCTTTGTCTTGTACCATGCCACACAACGCTTTGCCTTCTCCAAGATCTTTGTTTGGTCTTTGACTGGCACAAGTGAGCAGGTGCCCATGGGGAAAAGTTTGATCTCCTTCTTCTTGACCTTCTTGAGCACAGCCAAATTGGAAGGATTGCTAACAAAAGCCAGCACACCATCACCAACTTTGTTGTTCATATAGGCCTCCATGAGCAGTGCAGTGGCCTGAACCTTGTCAACCTCCTTCTGCACCATCTCAAGGTTGTGTGGTAGCCTGTCTGTGGTGAGCTTTGCTGGGCAAAGTGCAGTGGGCTCTTTCTTTGTTGCCCTCCACTTCTTCAATGATGTCAGCTCTTCAGTAACCACCAAAGCATCAGCAAATAAGGGCACATGCTGAAAGGTTGCCTTCTTGTCATCCACAGCTTTCAGGACAAAGATTTGGTCTGGGTAGTCATGGTGTGTGTACCTGCAACAATCTGAATAGAGCAAGTGTGTTGAGCAACAGCAAAGGTGAAACCAAAAGACATCAATCTTGACAACACAAACAAATAAGGATGCTGGTTGACAACAAGGGAAAGCCAGCAGAAAGCAAGCTGGGAAACACCAACAAGTTTTGATGCAAGCAAAGTACTTGTCTCCAATGCGAATGTGAGCATTTTGAAACAAGGCAACCTCTTGGCTGGAGCAATTGAGGAGGTCTTTGACAGCTGAGCCTGCAGAAGCTGACCCCCCTGCAGGTTCACTGTGTGTGGTCACCCTCACACTGCCATTCAGCTCCTGTGAGAACAGCTCAACAATCTCCCCAAAGGACTTGTAAACCTCTTGTTTGGCAACCTTTTCTTTGTTCAAGATATGCAAGACCATCCTGACAGCTGCATTCCCCCAGCAAATGTAGCCCACATCAGGTGCCACCCCTGCCCCCAATGCTTGCTTCCAAAGAGTGGAACGCATTTCATCCAATTTTCTGGTGGTATCCTTGCCTTTGAGCTTGTCAAAGTCACTCTTGAAAAGGAGCCTTGAGAAGCCATCAGCATGCTTTCTGGAAATGAGCATCACAGCTGCAAGGCCAATCCTTGTCAGAGCCATGGATTGTCCTGGTAGCCTGAAGTCATACATGGCCAAGTGATTCATCATTTCCTCACCCAGCATCAAGGAGTGGCCATGGTTTTTGCCTAGGATGGTGTGTGACTGGGCCACACAAGTGGTAGTAGATTTACACATAGAGAGAATCAGAAACACACTGGTTAGCAATGCTTTAGCAAAACTCACTCACAAACACACAAAATAGGTTGAACATTGTTATGAACATACAAGGCACAATAGGTGTCCAAACACTTCAGCAATGGAAAGGAGTCTCCACCACTGTACATCTTGCAGAAGTATGCAACATCTTCCAAATAGTGCTTGCAGGCAGGTGCGCTGTGCCTCACAGCCAGGACTGCCTCATCCATTTTCATTCCTCCTCTATACAGCTCTGCTAGCTGCATCATGCACTCAAGCTCATTGCTTGCAATTTGTGTGCTATTGTGGCTATTCATAGCCATTG